GCAGTAATAAGTGACTCTGTAAAGATGAGCAAACACGGCGCATTCATTAGCCCCGGCGGCCCCCTCCCTCCCTCCCGGCAGCCCCAGGAGACCCCCAGGGCCCCGCTCCCGAGGATGCCGAGCGCGTCCCTCCCGGCCCCAACGAGCGCCGGCAAAAGGCAAATTAATGACAAGTCGCTCGAAGAGTTTGCCTGAAATTATTTTATTCTGCCCGAGAATTGATTACTCCCGGCCTGGAAATATGTCCAAATCAATACGTTAAAGCTCAGGGCAAAAAAGACATGCTCTAGTCCCATTTATTTAATTCACTTTTTTGAGGAATGGCACATAATTTACCGGGTAGGAATTGCTAAGCCTTTCCAGAGCGAGGACTAATGACAAGCCATGGGAAAGCAGTGTCTTCATCCATCTCCCAGGAGAGCTGGTGACAAACTTGGTGGTGGCCAAGACCCCTCAAAGCACCAGGATGTGCCTCCAGCCACCCCTGCCAGGCAGACGGATACAGAGGTGAACTACATGGCTCAGGGCGCCAACCAAGGACACAATTTCAACCTCCCCTTTAGATAAATCTTCTTAAAACAAGACCAAAATCCCTCCCAAAAGAACAACTGCTGCCCAGGTGGCATCCCCTGTTTTCCTCATATTTGTGCATCCTAGACCATTTCCTACAGGTAGCGTGGCCTGCAGACAAATACTCACTCCAGGCTAATAAAGCACAAAATAAATATCCCAAACCCACCTACAAACAACCTCACGTGCTGGTTTTGGTAGCAAAGTCTAGGAAAAAGAACAGCCCTGCAAATACTGAACATGCAGGTGGGACAGGCCTCCCACTCATGCTCAAGGTAACTCCCACCAGGCACCCAAAACCTGTGGTACCTTTTCAGGAAAGAAGGAGCACATCCCAGCATTGGAGTGATGGGAAATGCCTCCCTGGAAGCCCCCGGGCCCCATAACAACTGAAACCAGGCTGAAAGAAACAGTGGTTCCAGGGTGAGCTGAAAGTGGTGCTGAATGTACACAACAAACACTGAAATTGGGTGAGCAACATTTGTGGCTTGGCCGCAGCATCGGCAGAGAAACACCTGCACTACCCAGAGTGCCTGGGTGCAGCTCTCTGAAGTAAACGGCACGAGGGACACTGTGCAGGACAAGGACACGTCACATTATCAGGGAATGAGACCCAGGTCTGGAGGAAATGTCAGCCCCACGTGCTGCTCTGCACAGCCAACGCTCCAGACACACCCTGCGGATGACACGCGCCTGCCACGCGCCCCATTTGCGAATCCTCTGCATGCTCCACGGGGTCCTGGATTTTCCAGGGCATTAAACCCTATCCCCCCTCAAAAAGCTTCATGGCAGCTGTCATCCTGCTCACGGGGGGTGGACGGGAGGGCTCCTTGCTGGAGACCATCAGTGTCACTCCCGAGCCGGTGGTGGGTGAAGGACGAGCTGGCCCTGCCGGCCCCGGGAGCTGCCAGCCCGTGCCGGGGGGGCTGTCACTGCTCCCCGAGAGGAGCTGTGGGAGCAGCACCTGACCCTGAGGTGCAGGGGTACAGCAGCACACCTGCACGGACCCTCTCGTGGCTTCCCACGGGCAACTCAAGGAGAGGACAGTTCCAATCGCATTAAAACCAGGGAACTCAAACCTTTCTACTCACCACGATCCCTTCAAGAGAACATCTTTATGTAAAGCAGAGACATAAAGCAGCAAAACACTGCAAAAATCAAAAGCCAGGGTTTGCTGGCTTCCCCTTGAGCAAATCCCTTCCTACCTGGGATGCTCCATACAGCTCCGAGGGCATCGTGTCCCCAAGCCTGTCCCCTGGACAGCCTTGGACTGCAAGAGGATTCCCACTGGCCCCACCTCACAGAGGAGAGATGCCAAGGCAGGAGAGGGAGCCCGAGGAAAGAGCAAAACACAACAGGGCTGGAAGCAAGCCCTGCTGAACCCCAGCCCAGCTCCTGAGAGCCCAGTGAGGGAAAGCAGAGGGTTTCCATCCAGAGAGACCGTCCGTGCCCTGCACGTCTGGCCCTGCCATCGGAGCCCCCTCGGCCCTGGCCCATGGACAAGGGCTCCTGGCTCACACCCTCCTTCAGCTGCACTTGGCTCTGCTTATAGGGGATTTTTGTAGACTGAAATGCTGCTTCTCTCCCATTCAGAATGGGAACATCCATGAAAAGGGGTCATTCATGATAAACTTGTGAGTGCTGGGTAGGAAGAAACCCACTCGGCCCAGGAAACAACATGGCCTTTATGTTTCAGCACTTCTGCCTGAGCCTGCAGGATGCTCCGTGGGTGAGGCAGTGAGGGCTGGGGGGCTCAGCACAGCCCCTCTGCACTCCCTGCCTTGCACAGCTCCCCAGTCACAGCCTCGCAGAGCAGGGCAGGGACCAGCAGCATCCAGGGACACATGGCAAGGCTTCCATTCCTTCACTCACCTCCTTTACATCCTAACAGGCACAAATCCCCACATGTGGCAGCAGTGTAAACGAGTTTTATTACTCAATAAAATATTTGAAGCAAAATAAATGGTTTTGTCAAACACTATATCTCCTCAAACAATAATGCACCGGCTTACGAAGAAAAACAACCGACATTCATATTCTATGGCAAAGGTTTATTTCCCCTCCCAGAGGAGAGGGGAACAGGCATTTCAATTCGGAATTCAGATACTGTATGGGAATACAGTAACTATAGTTCTCGGAGGGTTTGTGCAAATGCCAGCAAAACAACCCCCAAATCAAATTTATTAGCTGGTGGAGATCTCTAACAATCTTACACAGTGACTGATGAAGCCGCTGGGGAATTCCTTTCAACATTAAGTGATTTAAAGCCCCTACAGAAACTTCATTGTCTGTTCCAAGACAGAAAGAGTTCCTGGGTATCCAGTGCTGCTCTAACAGCAGCACTGGGCTGTGTGTTATTGCCAATGTGTGTTTCCCTTCATCTGGAAAGCAAACCAGGAATCCTAACATCCCTAGTCCTGTGGAGAACTATAAAAGGAGGAAGTGCAAATTCATTAAGAACCACAGCCTGTGTTTTAAAGGGACTGTCTGTATTCTGGTGGCAAGGTTGAGATGCTCCTTCTGCCCCGGGGGTGCTCCCAGGAAATGAGCTGGGTCTCATTCCCCCCCATGGGTCAGCCATTGAACACCCACAACCTGCTTGGCACAGACCAGACCTGCAGGTTTGGACACAGCCAACTCCCACCAGAACCCAGGGCTGCCAGAACTGGGCTGGGCTGTGCTGTGGCAGTGCCAAGCTGCTCTCCTGAGAAAGCACCAGCGATGGCAGCCTGGCTCTGCTCCGGGGTGGAGATGCCCTTCCTCAGGATGCACGGGGGAGGAAGGTGAAGGCACAGCCAGTGCCCCCGGGAACATCCACATCGCCCAGCCCAGGCCAGCTCCCTCACATTTTTTAAAGTAAACCCAGAAATGCGCAACCCTAATTGCCAGGTTTTTATCATGCACACTCATAACTGGGTCATTTGCATTTCAGCTGCTAAAATATCAGGGGGATGTTATTTAATCAATCATCACAGCGTACAAAGTCCTAAGTGAGAGAAGATTTTTTGATTGTCTCTGCTTGTATCTAAACATCTCACAAACCCGCCAGCCAGTTCTTCATTTCAATTAGGGCAATGCTGATCGTTAGCTAACTAATAAGGACCAATTTTCTGTCACAACTATTTCCTAATTAAATTCAAAACAGAGATTTCTAACCCAGATGGTCAGTGATGCTACAGATTTGTTTAAATTTGGTATCACAGTAACAAACTACTAATTAGGGTTTGTAAATACACCAATTCCCTTATGACTTAGTTGTTAGTAATGCATACAACTGGTTTATTAAAGCACTAATTGTGTCTGGCTTTACTTGGGCCTAACACATAATCCACTTATCACATACTGGTACCAACTCATTTTGAAGGGATTATGAATGAAATCATAAATGAGGTCTCACATCCAGTTCCCGGTATGGTTAATAAAGGTTTGGTGTCATATTTAGATGATTTTCTGCCTCTGATGGAGGGTGGCCCAGCAGTGATGCCGCTGCTCCCTTCTCCAAAGGGTGTTTAATGAAGAAAGTTCTGGATGCCACCCCTGTGCCCAAAAAGGGGTTTCTGCCCCTGCTCTGCTGACCAGCAAATCATCCCAGCAGCCAAGCCCCTCGAAGGGAGCCCCAGCCTTTCCCAGAGGAAGCACCCACTTGGTTATTTCCCATCGGAGCCAAGCTCAGCCCCTCCATGGGGACCCCCAGCCCTTTGCCTGAGACACAGGGGAGACCTCCTGAGACCCTCACGGACCCCGACCACCTGCTTGTAGAGGGATGGAGGAGTCCTCCCAGTGCCACCAAACCTGGATTCCCTCTCTCCCTTGCAGAGGGACAGCCCTGGGTTTTGTGGAAACCGAGGAGTACAACCCCAGATAGCCCATGGGCTCGAAGCCCCTCGGCTCCACCGAGGGTGCATAAAGTAGGAAATAAATGATAGATAACTGTGAATCGCAAGGTTATGTAAACACGGAGGGGGTTTTAGAAGAATCCTATTAAACCACAAAAGAAAAGCATGGATGGTTTATCACATCACTAAGACCCAAGAATGCATTAATAAATAGAAGAATAGATAATGAACCGTGGAGTACAAGGCTAAACTATCCGCTATTGTGAGGATCCTGTGACAGTAGAAACAATGAAGGGGAAGAAAAAGCTTTGTTGGTCTGTCACCAGAACCTTGTAGTGTATCTTTTATAGCCTATTTTTAATGAATTCACAGCACCTATCAGTTATTCTCTGCCCAAATCCCTCATTTTCCTCCCTCCTGAATGCAGATTCCCATGCTGCACTCTGCCTTCACCATGACGTCCCCCCTTAAACTCAGGGTTTCTCTGCCTTTCAGTGGCCTTTCAGCCACAGCGAGAACAGGTTGCTGCTTTCATATTTACAAAGGGTTTCCAGCATGGTAACAAAAGTAGGGTTTAATGCAAAGCAGGAGTACCTCTGAGCCCTGTTGCTTCCTTTGCCTCTTCTGTGACAGGATGGTGAAAGCTCAGACAGGTCTAATTCAGCTCAGAGTGATGATGCCCAGACGTGCCTGTAAGGAAAAAAAAACACATGAAAGCTGCTGCTCCTCTTGCTGTTTTCCAGCCCTCTGTAAATAACACTGAGAATTGTTGGAGGGGACTCAATATTAATCCAAGAGATAGTACCCTCTTTGTAGACACTGCTGAGACTCACTAACACTTTATTTTCATTGCACTGAGGGGTTTTTATCATTAAATAGGGACCCAGGATACATTTACTGTAGATTACTTTTATTTTTACTGCAGCATCGTTAGGCACAGAGCACTAAGGAGACAGGGGTGACCAGGACATGCTCAGCTGCAGTAAAACCCCTTGGTCCTGCCTCCACTAGAATCCGAAATTCCCATCGATTTCCATGTAAAAAGCCCCAAAGACCATTTGTTGCTGTGCTGGCAGCTCGGTGTGCTCGGAGCTGCACTGACATCCTGCAGGAGCACAGCCTCTCCAGGCTGCTGGAGGCAGAACAGGGGCTGTGTTAGAGACAGGGGAACTGGGCACAGCAAGGGCAACACCCAAAAATTCCAAGTTCTTTTGGTGGCAAACCCCACCCGAAGCAGGTCCCTCAATGAGCCTGCACTGGGCTCAGTTTGAGGTTCGCACTGAAAATTACTCTTCACATCTTAAGAGGAAACTGCAGGCAGCGAGGAGAAGCCAGACAGCTGTTGGTTTGTTCCTCACACCTGAAAAAGGGAATTAAAGAGACCTGACTGAACCCCAGGCAGCAGCCAGGAATCCGGATTTGCCTTTTTTTGGACCATCCACACTGGAGCTCCCAGCAGCTTGTGGTGCCTGTGCCAACACATGTGTCCCCTGTGCATGTTCACAGGGTGTCCTGCAGGACGGTCACTCTGGAGGGTCCCTGTCCCCAGGGACAGCACAGGGGGCACCTCACCTCTCCTTCCTGGGTGCCAGAGGTGAGGCACAGGCAGGGATGGGGCTGCCCTCCCTCCCCTCAGCCTGGAGCCTCTCTCCTGACCACGGAGGAGCAGGGAGCAGGCGGCTGCTCTCCCAGGAACACACTTCAGGCCGGTGAGGAGAACAGCCGAGTGCTCAACAGGCTCTGGAAACAAGTGGAAGTCAAATAAGTTTGCCACTCTTTGTCCCCCTTTCAATATCTAGCTTTGATCAAAATCCTTGGATACTCAAGTGGTTGTTGACTTAATGTAGTAATGAGACATAGCCTTAAGTGAGGCCATTTCCGTGCCCATTCAGCCTCTCCAAGAGCAAGGGATGCAGGAGGAAAAGCCTCTCATGGTCTCTGGGAGCCACAGCAGAGCCTGGAGCAGAGGCCTGGCTCCAATTCCCAGGAGCTGCACCCTGTGCTCGTCCCCCAGAGCCCCTGCAGGGATGGCCTGGAGTAACCTGGGGAAACACCCCAGCTTTGTCCCAGGCAGGTGACAGGGGACACGGGGTGGGGGGGTGAGGGGAGTGGATGTGGCAGTGCCTGGCCAGAGGCACTGCCCTTCTCTGATCCTCTGGGCAGGCTGTGGACCTGGGCAAGGCAGGAGGGAGGGAAAGGGCCAGGAGCCCAGATAAAAACAGCAAGCCCCGAGAAAAGTAAAAATTCTCCAAGTGACGGGGAGCAGCTCAGCCAATTAGGATTTTAATTCCCCTCGTTATGCACAGTCAGTCAATAAATTCTGCACCAAGCAGCTGCTCTAATTCTTAAGCCCATTAAGCCCTACATGTGATAGGCGGGCGGGAGGGGCTGCCGGGGGGCACAGACGGCACTCCTCGAGATATGAAACATTTCCTCTTGTGCAGCTGGGTCACCACACCCAGCCCACTCCGAATGGGAATTTTATCAGGCTGGTAAATAAGAATTTATATAAATATCCTGCCAGAGACACACACCCCACAGACAGGGAGAATGAAGAGGGGACTGGAGGAGATGCGCCGAGGGATCGTTGGTGCTGTAGCAGAGCAGGAGAGCAGAGCCAGAGGGGAGAGTCTGGGATGGAGCAACAGGATTTTGGTGTCTGAAGTGGAGGGAGAGCATCCCAAAGAGCTGGACAGGCAGCCAAGAGTGAAGAAAAGCAGGATCAGAGATGCAGGGAGGAAGAAAACTCACGGAGCAGTACGGCAAGCGCAGAGGGGGCTGGCTCTGACACAGGAAGGGACCAGGAGCTACAACAGCAATTCCCGGAGCGAAGGGGCAGATGGCTGGAGCAGAGGTATCCCACCGACTACAGAGATGAAAGGCAGCAGAGAAAAGGGAATATACTGGGAGTGGAAAAGCATTCAACAGCCAAAAGGGTTTTCCATGTTAATTGGCAACCAGCTAACACATTAATTACAAAGTTACTGCATGGTCAAGAAAGACATCAGCAGGAGAGCAATTCACATTCCTCCAGGGATGTGCTCCCTGCTGAACAGCCCCTGCTCTAGGAATGCTGCCTGTGCCTGCTGACATCCAGCACCCTGAGCACCCCAAGCCTTGGGAGCCATGGTAAAACACAAACAGGACAGCAACTGCATCCACACCAATCCCACAGGCAGCCTGAGCTGAGCCTTCCCCAAAGCTCACCTTCAATGAAATGGGGTTGCCACGCCAGCCCATCATCCCTCACACACTCCTGGGTACAGAACCACGACCACAGGCACAGGCAGCCCAGCTTCTGGCAGGGCTTCAACCAACAACCTCAGCAAGAAACACGCCTGCCAAACCATTTGCCCACTATTCATGACCCTTGGAGACATCTCCACGCTCAGCACTTGTTGACAGGAACGGGGACCTAAACATTTTCAGAGTTTAGGCCTGCCTTCTGGGGTTAAAAATCATGGCAACTTTAGCTGAGCTCTTACTAATCTCAGATTCCTCTGAAAGATCAATTGCAGGACATGTGCATCCAGGCAAAATTTATTCTCTTTCATCCCTTAGACACAGATATGAAAACAAGCTACCCACTGCAAATTGCATTCCCACTGCACAGCAGGAAAACATGGGCCCTCTGTCCCTGTCAGCTCCACCAGGCACTGGAGGAGTGAGCGGTGACGAGCCCTTAAGCTTTGGTCAAGGCAAGGGGCAGAAATGAAAGTTTGCTCAGTTCTGTGAACACGTCGGCTGCAAAGAGGCTGTTCCTATAATCCTATCCAGCCTCAAAATGTAATTTCCTCACTTGGAAGGCTGGCTGGAGCTGCTATTCATGTCTCAGCCCGAGCCAAAGCCCAATCTCTCTCCAAAGGCTGTTTCTAGCCTGGGAGCCAAACACGGGTTTTATTGTGGGGAATCAAATGGAGCCCCCGGCGTGTGCTGGCAGTTGTGGCACTCGAAGCCTCCCAGCAGTGCTGTGCTATCTCCCGCCTGGCACACGGCTCCTGAGGGGCAGGAACACAGCTGGGCTGGCACCTCCTGCTTCGCTCTCCACCTGGAAGCACCATGGAAAGCTACTGGCAGGGTGGGAGCAAGGGCAGACCCACATCCCAGCAAACCAGCAGTTTAGTGTAGAGGCAGCAGAACACCCCACCAAGGAACCTGTGCTAACAGGGATGTGTAAGGGAGCACCAAGGCTGCTGCCCTGGGAAATCAGAATTACTCCATGATCCCCACCAGTGTGGAGGCACTAAGTCCATACCAGCAGCCAGGCCCAGGAAAGCCACTCCCCAGCCCAGTCCAGCCACAGGGTGCAGCTGCCCAGGCAGCTCTGAGCTCCAGGGATCCCACCAAAGCCAGGGTGGGTCCCAGTCTCTGCCCCCAGTACCTGCCCACACACAGACAGATCTCTCTATATTCACTGCAGCTCCTGCACAGCACAGGCTTGATAATTATGGCACAGAGCAGTGGCTGCTCCCAATAAATTAATTAGAAACGGCATCACTGTAATGTGATTAGTTGCCATCCCTCCACCTTGTAGATTGAGACAGATTTTGTTCCCAGCTCGTGTTTCAAACACCACTAGAAGCCCACTCGAGCAAGCCCGTCCAGAAAGGGGGACCTGCATTGCTGGGCACATGCTCAGGGCTCGGAGAAAGTGGTTTTAAAACCTTCACAGATTGTCAAGGCCAGTTTATTCAAGGTAATTAATCTGTCATTTTAAGGACATTATGCATTTCCTCCACAAGTCAGCTGTCGCCGGCAGAGACATCTCAGTGTTGCTGGCCCCAGGAGCACGAGGCTCAGGGGTCAGCCCTTCCCCTCCCAGACCATGGCATCAGCTGGAAATTCATGGTTATATGGACTGGCTTCTCCCCCTTGCCTTCTCGAGGCTCTCTATTTCCTCTCAGCTGTGAGCACCAGGAATTAAGTGCAAGTCTGAATTCCAGACAAAGATCACTGAACACTCCAAGCTCAAGGAATGCACCTCAAAGGCCTGTGGCTGCAGTGACAGGAGTCAATCCCCCAGATCTGGAACTGCAGCAACTGCAACCCTCCCCTCCATCACCTGTGGCAGGGACACAGATGTGAGCAAAGAAATCTCTCCATCACTTCCGTTTACCCCAGTTAGTGATGCAGCAGGAAATGGGGTTCCTGGTGGTCATTAGCATTAATTATCCCGCAATGCCTCACCCCCGAGGAGTGACTGAAGATGCTGTGGCACACTCAGCAATGCACTGACTGTACCTGCCTGTCAGTTGTCCTCCTGCAGCAGAGAGAATTTTAATGGACTGGAACCAGAATGCCCTTTTGAGGGAACAGGCAGCAAACCCTGCCGAGGGCAGTTCAGGCGCTCCGTGCGCTCCCAGTACAATCCCCGGGCGCTGCTACATCCCTGGCTATGACACACCAAATGGAGATCAGAAGGAACAATAGTCTGTAATCAAGGATATCTGCATAATAGCTTTCCTGAAGGATGTTTGTGCAGGTGAGCGAGGAGTAAAGCATTGTTTCATCAAATGGTAATTTCCTTGTATCTCAGAGAATGAATCCCATTCGCTCGCCAGGGCATAATTCAATTAAAGGGGAGAATCCTGCGTGAGGGAACGAAATCTATCGGTCTGACTGGGATGCTGCAAATCACACCACGCAAGAAAATGGCATTTGGTCCTGACATTATGATTTATTTCCTACTC